TCACATGTTAAGGTCAGGAGAATGAAAGAAATGATCACCAACTGAAGAAACTCTTGATTGTTAAACAAATTCTCCTCGTTGGCACCTATGGAGAATATGTATGCTGAGGTTGAGGTGTAAAGGGTAAACTGAGACTTCACTCAATATATAGATGATAATTTGCATCAACATTCAAATCCATTGTAAATCTACAGATTAGTACTCTGGCAAAACTTGCTCAAAACTCCCTTCAACTACAGATATTGAGCTTCAAAACATTTTATGTTCTCACCCAGTTTGCACAGTTGCTGTCTTGCACAAATAAGATAACTTTCTGAGAACAATAAACCAAAACTCAAAGAGTTATGATATTTATATTTATTTCTCTTTCAACGATTCTTTGTTATCTACAAAATATACATACTACAAAACAGTTACATTTTTCTCTTAATTTAGAAACCTCAAGTTATTTAATATTATTCAAAAGCCTTAGGCTTCCTAACATGGCCATCTAACTAGCCCAAAAAACTCTAATATGTGCTAGCATAAACAATAACTAACAATTTTAACGAAAATTATTCTTTAAATAACATAAATTAACTTATTGCTTTCTGACACAAATTTTTGCAAATTATGCAATAATACAAATGTTTAACAAATAATTTAATTTTCCTGTTAAACTCTAAAGGAGAGACTTCATCTAAATATTACAATTTACCCAGACTCACTGTTATCCAACAACTTAGTTAACAATTAAATATAAATTCTGGCTTCTCATAAGTCATCCCATAGTTACATTAAATTCTTTACCTTTTAGAGATAATTTCTTGGTTGGTCAGTTTGTGTCTGCACAATTTTGATGTTCATCATAAATGATTCACCACTATTACTTATCAATCACTTCTTTCTCACAGAAACCTTTGAAAAAAGTCAAGATTTCTCACTTTCTCAGCTTAAATCACCAACTTCGTGGAAATGGAATTTGATTGTAATTAGTTGCTGTGTTCCCTCTACAATTGGCAAACTCTTAGGATGTGAAGAATTTTTTTTTCCAAAAAATACTAACAGTATTTCTTTTTATAAAGCACCACATTACTCTAATTTCCTAGCATTGCCCTCAGTAGAGGTCAAACAACTTGTATGAATATTCCTTCAAGAAAATGTGGCTTTACTAACTGAATTGTCAATGTAAATTGGCCCCAATAAAGAGTTTCAAAAGCTGAAATTTCAAGTGTCAGCCCTTCTTCAAAGCTAAATGCCAGCTTTAGAAACTCTTTATTGAGGCAGGAGCCCATTACCTGGAGCCTCCATACCAATTGTACCCTTGAGTCAACCCTGTCCCCTATCTTTTTATTTTTAGAACTGAGATATGTGGGGAGGTCTTTAATTTCCTGCAAAAACACGCTGATGTGCGCATAATTGAAATACTTTCATGCGGCCTGCATGTGATGAAAACAATAGAGGACCACAGCTCTCTTATGATTGGCTATTAAGTAAACACCCTCAAAAAACCCTGTGGGAGATGCTTCTAAAAATAAAAAGACATGGAACAGGGTTGACTCAGAGGGTAAGTATGGAAGATGGAAGCTCCTGGTAATGGGCTCCCAATGGAGGCCAATTTACATTTATTTATCAACTCAGTTGATGGAACCAAATTATCCTGTAATATCCCTCACTGACGCAGCACTACAGTTTCTTTGGAAGTTTACCTCACCTCACCGTATTCCTTATATAGTTTTTTTAAGGTAAAATCATTCATCTAGTAGTTGTGCTAACTCACAATGGTGTCACATGAATACCAAATATGATTAATTTCTCTCAGCAAAGATTAATTCAGTGCCTTGACATGAACTAATTTACTTTTAGGCAACATATAACCATGCTATCATTGAAAACTTCACATTGTGTGTTTTACTATATAGTGCAGCTGTTTCACTTCTTTGAGAGTCATATCATGTATTTAAAAACATTTGTTGAACTGCTCTTGTGGAACAATATGCAAGGTTTTCATTCAGCTCACTTATCTGATGCTGTCATAAAGTTTGAAATGTCAGCTTTTTAAAATTAAACAAGGGCAGGACTTAATTTTTATCTTGTTTTCAAGATGTTTTTTAACAGAATTTAGGTCACATGCCAAAAAAATTAAATTGGAGTTAAATAACTTAAGCCTATAAGGAGATTAAATTTGAAATATTTAGCATGACATGATATTTATGCGTGCAGTTCTTTCACTTACCCCTTCCTGAAGAACAATAAAGCAAAAATAGCCTTGAACCAATTCTGCCTTGGTATGTTCCAGAGTGGCAAAAAGTCAAAGCCAATCACATGATTATACAGCCTTCTTGTAGTTGGGTTAACCAATAGTTTCCTTCAGTGCTGTTAAACTTACTGTTTATTAATAAAAGTAATCCAACCCCTTAGACCCAAAAAGTGACCAGCATCTAATTTCTCCTAATTTCAATACTGCTAAATCATTCATTGAGATCATGAGAATAAAGGAAATGATCCCCAATCTAAGGAGCTATGATTGGTAAACGAATTCCTCTTGTCACTACCAAAGGAAATGAAAAGAGAAAAACATAGATACTGATGTTAGGGTATAAAGGGTTAGAGAGTGCTATGCTGTTTTCATTGTTTGTATTTCTGATATCCAGGATATTTGCAGCTGGTATCAATCAGTGCCATTTAGAGCCATCAAGGCTTCCTGTGCCTGTCGAACAGCTACTCTGTAATACCCTTTCTTCTGCTTTTTGTGTCGTTTGGCAAAGTTGGGCAGGAATAACTGAAGACTGTGAATGTGCATAATAGAGCTGGTGTTGGACCCAAACCATGATACATGTGCATCCCTGTCCCAAGGGTTGTTGCTTTCTTCATTCCGAATTCCACTGATTGCCAACACCCTTCCAGGCCACCATGGATGACCATGGACCTTACCCCACACAATGTCGCCAACAGACACAGGGTTTATGTTATCTGCCGGTGTCATTTGGGGCTGAAGTTTCCAGGTCATTCTCTGAGTGTATTTAGTGGATGAAGCACTATTCTTTTGCTTATGAGAGTTTTGATTTGTGGGAGTTGATCCTTCAGTGGGTTGGTTTGAAATAAGGGAGCCTGATGATTTCAAAACAGCATTATCTTGACCAAAAACTGATTCGACTTCTTCCAAAACATTAGATTCCACAGATGATTTTTTATGTCCAAGTTTTGCACTCTTTGGTTGAGAGTGCAAAATATATTCCCTGCGTTCACTTATTCTTGCCGATCTTTTAAGAGGAACATTTACAAGCTGTGCCTCTTGTGTCCCAGTATTCTGTTGTTCTTCACTTGCCACACTCTCATTGTTGTTTCTTTCCCCATCAAAATCATCCAAAGCCTCTACAACTTCCTCAGTCTGGGTAATCTTATTACTGTCCTGTCTTTCTATGTCTTGTTCCTGTGAAGGCGACAACCTCACATACTGATCATGCAAAATGTTAGAGACACATGTTTCTTCTCTTTCTCCTTCAACAGTCCCCTCAGATCTAGTCGCAATTTCATTGCTGTTTTCAATTCTTCTGCTTGTTGGATTCACCTCTGCATCTGACTGTTTTGATTGATTTTGATCTGTTTTGTCAACATTGTCATGAACATTCTGATCATCAGTCAAAGAAGTCAACAATTCTTTGTCATTGCTGGAAGTCATTCTTTTTGTCACTGAACATAAAGGTGGATCAAGTTTATTAAATGACAGAACAGCCCCAAGTTGTCGCTGTCCACTGCTTGACATAACTTCAACTGGTACAACAGGAACAGAACATGAGTTAGTCAAGAGTAATTTAAACTGTGTTGAGGAAACACCCTTTGCTGCTAAATTCTTTGATCCAAGAGACCACTTGCTTTCCATTTTTACTTCAGTTTTCAGTGGATCTTTGAAATCAGCCTTGGGTTTCTTTGTTTGGGTTTGTTTCTGGACACCCTTCCCTACAACCTTCACACTGTCTGGTCTTCTTTTCCTTGATCTGCTACAGCTGTCTTGATTTGAAGACTTCCGTTTCAAGTTAGCTTCACATTTAGAATTCCTAACATTTATCTGGCTCGAAAGATTAGTTTTTCTTCTTGAATTTTCCTTCGCTTTCGTGATCTGTCCTTGCTTGCTTTTCTGATAACCAGAGGCAGATGATCTTTTAGTTGAACTCTCCATCTTGTCCACCATGTTTTTAGAACTCTCTCGACTTTCTTTGATCAAATCTGCATCTGTAAGGACTTTCACCTCGCTAAATAAACTGGGAATCCTTCTACTGGAAAAAGATCTGTTGTTGTGTCGCTTGTAAAACAGGCTGGCTTGTCGTGTTGACCATCTCGAGGCACCATCACCGATAGCACTACTACTTCCTAAAGTTTTCTTCTCTGGTTCAACATTTGTAGCTTGTTCTTCGAGGGACGTTCTTTATTAATAGTGAGCAGAAAAAACACAAACTTCAGAAAAAATTAAAGCCAGTGAATCGGTAATTCATTTAACTTTTCAACTGGGAGGATCATTGCATATAGGATCTCAAAGAAATAATTTTTCACAATTTATCATTTATCATCACTGAGGAAATCAAGGTGAACCCACCTCCAGACAACGGCGTTCTTTTCGTCAAAAAGCACTCCTCTGAATACTTTTGATCTGTGTTTAACACTGACAAGAAGACAGTTCTCTAAGGCTTGTTCTACCGTTGCAGAAAGAACCGATCCCGCTTGTAAACAAGACATTTTTTATATAATTTCTGTTGATATTTCACTGATCCATTTCCCTCGCATCATAACTAATTCTTCTCTAAGTAAAGGTAAGGAGAAAATGACTCCCATCAAGTCAATATTTACAACAAAAATGAAACATTTTATCATAATTGTTATAGTTTTTGCCACATAAGTTCATTTTTTAAGATTTATCGTTGATTTTCTAGTGTTTGAGTCAGAAAAAATGTAACAAACATATGAAAATATTAATATTTAGACGCGCTTGCTATGTTCAAACTAGTAACTCTCAATAATTTCTCCACCTTGTTAGAGAGGTTTAAGCGAAAGAACCATGTTTTCGGGTAGTTTTGAAGCGTGTGGCAATATTATCCCAGTTTCGTACGTACAGCAAGCTCAGAATGCAAGAAAAAGTCGGGAAAATCAAATCAGAATTTTCCTGGAGCACGTAAGTAGTGTAAAAGGGTGTGATGTCTTTCTTAAAATGAAACTGCCAGACTAAGCAATTGTTTATTCGACTGCTGGCTGCCATTTAGTGACCCGTAAATAGTCGTTGCTATTGCAGGACATAATTTGTTCAATAGATCATGGTATTGACTGTGATAAAATGTTGAAAGACAATGCCTTCCGAAGCTGCTGGCTTACTGAAGGAAGTGAAAACATAGTGTTTCATGATTATCTTTCCAAAAAATTTGTCAAGGTTGGCGAGGAGAGGGGGAGGATTCAGGCGGATCAATAGGAAAAAGCTTCCGGTTTGGCAACATTTGTTCATGATCCATACTTTTCATATGATAAGCTGAACCATACACACATCTTGATTGGTTCTTACTTATGATCGATAGGTAGACAGACGCCATAGATGACGTCACCATTTTGGCAACAAATTTGCTTCCATACCACTTTTTTGTGATGATCTTATCACATTTTGACATCATTTGTGATCAATTATTACACAGACACTCAGCAACATAGAATGTATCTGTTAAGAGTTGGATATATGGATGGCACTGTTTCAAGAACTGTTCAGGAAGTGCGAGATGATCTGATCAAGCTTGCCAAGTTATATAATTCAATAACTACCGACCTCTTTCTTACTCTCTTACCAACCTCCCTTTTTAGGCTATTTTTTTTCATTATCATAACCAATCACACAGACCACAGCATAACAGACTGAAGTTATGTGGTTAACAAAATGCAGTACACATTTTACCAGTCAAGTGTACAGGTCACCACGAGCACTTGTCAGTTGCATGTAAATACATGTATGTGCATCTCTATGTCAACAGGTTACTGGTGGCCATCCTGTTTATTAAAAAATAAGGAAAATTCTATATGTTAAGCTCAGAGGGGTTAGGTCATTTTAACCCTTTCAATATCAAGGTCTAATTAGGAATTCATCCTACTGTCTGCCATACAATCTTATGATATTAGTTGGAAGAATTTAGTATTGGATCAACTAAAAATCCTATGAATAATATTTTTCCTTATTCTCATCACTTGTGTACTTGATATTGTACTCATGTTATAACAAGTTCTCTTTTGGTCAGCCATGGGTGTTAAAAGGGTTTACATTTGAAATCTAAATGCATGTGTATCTCCATGAACAGAAATCAGAAATTCTTTTATCTAGGGCTTCTATGGATACCAGCTTAGTGGCTGACTGGATCACCTTGTAAAATAAAGTTTACTTCCCTCACATAAGTGTTAAATTCTCTTATTAAAGCTATTTTTAAAATTTTATTTCTATAATTTTTCATTCAGAGAAAATGGCCATCAGAGGGCTGGGATGATACTAGCATTGAACTTCTGTTGCAGGAACTATCAATTATGGACAGTAACAACTTCCCAGGTAAGTTGGTAGTGACACCCATTAGATTCCTTTAACTTCCAAGATCTATTTGTTAACTCTCCCCTCTAGCTGCTAGGCATTTCCTGGTAAATTAGTAATGAGAATTTGGTGTTAGATCAGGGTAAAAACTTCAACTAGATAAGTTTGTGTACTCTCATTACCTGTTTGGTGGATATTGTATGAATATTATAGGGGGAAGTTTCCTTTTAATCTCTTCTGGGAGTTAAAGATTAAAGGGAAAGATGAAACCTCTAAAATTTGCTCCCTGTGGCTTTGCTACTCAGATGGTAACAAAACCCAACTAGTACCTGGGAGGCCTTGGTTCAAATCCCATCAAAACTTGAAATTTTTCAGGCTTCTTTTCTGCAATTGCTTAACCCTTAAAGTCCCACCAGTGACCTAGACAGAACTTCTCCTTACACATCAGTACGATATCGAGCAGACAAGTAACAAGAATAAAGAAAAATATTAATAAGGGGATTATTGGTTGATCCAATTCCAAATTCTCCAAACTAACATCATATGAATTGTTAAAATTGCTAAGAGTTAAAGGGTTAAATTGCAGTCCACCCACAATGATCATTTCTTTGCTTGATTTTCATCCAAAAGTCAAATTAGATTTATTCTTTTAAAAAATTGTGTTATTATCTTCTGTATTAATCAGTTTGCTTTTTTCAGGAAATGCTGGTGCGGGAGAGAGGGAAGGAAGAGTAATTTCATCCTTAGTGTCAAGAAGACATTTTAGGTAACTAATATCTTTACTCTACCCTTTACTCCCTTACATCAGTATGCATATTCTCCACACTCCTCAGACATTTCCAAGGGCTCTGACAAGGAGAATTTGTTCAAAAATCAAGAGCTTCTTTGGTTGATGATCATCTCCTTTATTCTCATGACCTTTATGTTTGATTCAGGGGTGATGTTGTAAGGAGAAATTAGATGTTAGTCACTCATATGGGTTAAAGGGTAAATGTAGGTTGTCTAAATTGTTGTGAAATAGCTTTTTAGAAAGCAGTCCGAACTGAAGACTTTTCTGGACTCACTGAGTTGGGGCAGGCTGGCTTATACCACATTTACAATATTTTTCATTGACTGGAAATCACCAGAACCTAAAGACATAATGGTGAAATTGTCAAAGCCTGCATACCAGATTGACTTGTATAGCTACTACTAACAGCTGTTACCATTACCTCTAGTAAGATATGATTAGAAGTATTGTTACTCCACTTGGATAGAATGCAATTTCTCCTATTCTTGCACTCGTAAGATCTCCTTAAAAATTATCATTACTGTCTGCCATACAATTCTTATGATGTTACATCAGTAATAATCCCCCAGTTGATATTTATGATCTTGATGTTGTGTTGTTATTGTGAAGGAGAAGTTCTCTCTTGGTCACTCCTAGGAGTTAAAGGGTTAAACTTCTATTTTGTTATTTTGATTCCCAGGCTAAGCCATGGTATTGGCAGGTCAGGTGACATAGCAGCCGTCCAGCCCAAGGCTGCTGGTTCTTCTCTTCTAATGAAACTCACCAACTGCATGGCTCTGGATGTTATCAAACTAGCAGGTTAGTGTCTGAATGACAATTACTTCATTCAGGTTCAGTATGCAAGCATGGTTTGAAATCCAAGTAATTTCAATAGTCCTGTGAATTTAAGTGACAATGTAAACAGTGTAACTTGAATTTCACTAAGGCTTGAAACTGAACTTGGCCAAATATTCCCAATGGCATTTATTTGCTAACAAATGTTTGAAAAGGTTTTTCCAGGTGAAGGGGAGGTCCAATGTTAACATCGCTGGGCATTACAGTTTGTTTTATTATCACTTACAATTTTCCTCCTTTTCTTGAAAAGGAAGGGGGGGAGCTGCATTCAACCTCAAAGGTTATTAACCCTTTATGCACTAACATTGGTATGCAAGTTCTCCATACTGTTTTGTTACACATTTCCTATAGTGTTGACAAGAAGAATTTGTTTAAGAATCAAGAGCTTCTTTAGTTGATGACTATTTCTTCTATTCTTGTGATCATAATGAGTGATTCAGGGATGATATCATAAGGAGAAATTAGATCCTAGTCAACCATAGGGGTCAAAGGACCCAGCAGAATAGTTCCTTTTTTTATATATTATTTTTTAAAAACTTCTGGCTGACTGATGATGACATCAATAATTTGTTTGTTTACTCAATAGTTATGATACAAGTACACAAAAAGTAAAACAGATTTCATTAGTCTTCAATTTTGATCCGTTGGTAATTTTTTTATGTTACTTGCTCTTGTTAAAAAGCAGAATTGATATCTTACTGTACTGTCTTTTAAAGGTGTTAGGTCAGCAAAAGCTTGTCTGGTATTACCAGTGGCAACAGGGATGAGCATGGTAATGACATTGCTAACATTGAAACAACAGCGACCTGGTGCCAAGTTTGTAATTTGGCCACGAATTGACCAGAAGTCTTGTTTTAAGTGCATCCTTACTGCAGGTAACTTTGGTGTTCCTCTTATCAGCTCATGTGGTCTTGAATTAAATATTTTATATGGCAATGAGCAAATGTCTGTTTGTATTATATGTTAAACCATTGAACAAGGTATTTCTCATTCCACTACTATTTCATTGTTGAGTATTTTGGCTTCTAGTTTTCAAAATACATTTTGTGACCTTTAATCTTAGCATCATATCAATCATATAAACTGCGTGCAGAAGATGAAAAACAACACGAGTGAAGCCATTGAAGTGTTTTTATAAGACTCACAAGAAAAATCTGATCCACAAAAAAGTTGTTGCTTTAAAAGTCAAGCATGAAAGGTGGAACAAAACTGCATTAGGATCGTTCATTGCTGCCTTTTCCTTGCTCCACTTTCCATCTGCATTTTTGTCTTGTTCTACAGTGTAATAGCATGGCATATTTTGTGTGATTTGAAGCCATAATAATGGTAAGATGGTGTAATGGTGGAATAGTAAAACTGAGATTGGAGTAAGTTCAAAGAAGATATTTGAGTCAGTCTGGTATGCAGATTTCTACCTTAAGACTAAACTGCTGGATCATTTTCATTGAAATATAAAAATGGTAGGGAAGGTAACAATTAGATTTTCATGTCTTGTGTTAGGGTTTGAACCAGTTATTGTGGAGAATGTTTTGGAAGGAGATGAACTGCGAACAGATCTTGCAGCAGTGGAAAAGCAAATTAAAGATTTAGGAACAGAAAATGTGCTCTGTGTTTTCACCACAACTAGCTGTTTTGCTCCGAGGATCCCAGACAGGTTTGTGTGACATCAAGAATGGTAACATGATGTAAAATCATGATGTTTTAGGTGACATCAACCTTTGGACAAATGTTAAAGAGGATCAATGTCAGTATCTGAGCAACTGCAGACCTACCCCTCCCTAAAACCAACATTAACCTTAACATGTTATCAGTTGAATGTTGTTGAGTTGGGGAGGGGTTGGTGCACAGTCACTTATATACTGACATTTATCCTTCAATTAAGTTTGAATGAGTTTCAATTTTAAGTGATTGTAAACTTGTTTGAATTGATGTTTCTTTTTCCAGATACATTGCTAGTGATAGTCCTTCAACAAAGGAGATGTAAATCAAACCAGTTTAAAATCATACTAACTGCAAATTGCTTCAAAGCAAGACATATTATAAGTTTCTTATTAACTGAGTGGGAGGGCTAGGTAGGAAAATATTTGGTTCAAAGTGCTGACATACAGTTAGAGTGTAGCAAGGTCAGTTTTATGACAGAGAGCCAAATTTTTTCCCATCCATTCCAAGAACTCCTCTTCCTTTCCTCTTTGACTAGCACCTCTTAAGGCTAAAGAGCTTTTTCCTGGCCCTGTTTATGCTTTTGCATTTGGTCCTCATACATGGATATTTGTCCAATGTCTTTCAATAAAAATGTACATAGGGCTACACAAAATTCCAATAATTCTCAATGGGCAGTTGAAATGTCAGAGTACAACTAAGATATGGGCACTGTTTAATCAATGCAATATGCAATATGCTGGGCACAGGAGTATTACCGTGTCCTTTTGCTCCACTTTGCATGCTTTGTTTGCTTTGTTTGCTCCTAACTCTCCCATCTCTCTGGGTTACAAAATGATATTCAGTCCACATATCAGTTTGTCAATATTGTGTTTTCAGGTGCTTGTGGGTAGGCTGTGGCTTGGTTGCCAAAGTGACTGCCCACCTCTCCAGCTGTGGTAACTTTACAGCACCTGCCCAATGCAGTTGATGAAGTTTTAAAACTCTGAGTAGGTCTTTCTTTGTTTCAACCATTTAATTAGCTGAAAATGACTTTTTGCAGATTGGAAGAAGTTGCAAAGCTGTGCAAGGAACAGAATGTGCCTCACATTGTGAATAATGCATATGGAGTGCAGTCGTCAAAATGCATGCATCTCATTCAGCAGGTAAATTCCTCTTCAACAGCTTGTAGAAGGGTAATAGAGGGTTTCAAGGTTTTTGATAAGTTTTAAGCAGGGGCATAGCAACCATCTCTTAGCTCACAGTGGGAATAAGGGTAGCTAACAGTTAAGAAGATGATTTTTTGGCACATTTGCTTCCTTGGTCTCTTTGTTTTAGCAGCTACAATTAATCCTCTAACTCCTAAAAGTGATTAACTTTTAACTTCTCCTTATGATATTCTTACCTTATCCAGCAAACAGGTAATGAGAATACTCAAACTTATCAAGCACAAGTTGTTATCTTGATCTAACACCAAATTCTTGTCACTGATTTACATGGAAATGTATAGCAGCTAGAGGGGAGATTGACAATCAGATCTTGGCAGTTAAAGAGATCAAGATGTTAGTAACTATGAAACTTGAAAATTCAATTTTGATTCTCCCTCCAATATGGTCATCATCACTGATAATATAACAACTTAGTGGCACCTTGGGCTGTTTACAGAGAGGTGAAGTCTGTTTTCAAGGGAAGTAGGAATGACTGTTTTTTAGAAACAGTTTTCACTCTGTATTTATCCAACAACTGATATATGAGGAAGGCAAACAGTTTCAGTGAGGTTTTGTTTTTGCTCCTCTTACAGGCAGCAAGGATTGGCCGTGTTGATGCCTTTATTCAAAGTACAGATAAGAACTTTCTAGTTCCTGTTGGTGGAGCCATTGTGGCAGGATTTGATGAGAACTTCATTGATGCAGTCAGTAAAACATACCCTGGTAAGGTTGCTTCTAAGATGATCATCAAACCTGGCCTTACTCCTTTACACCCTAGAATCAACATACATATTCTCCATACTGTTGTTTATATATTCGTATGGCAGTGACAAGGAGAATTTAGATCAAAATCAAGAGCTTTTCAAGTTTGCAATCATTTCCTTAGCCCTTTAATCCCTACAAGTGACCAGCACGTAATTTCTTGATTGTTTCACTGAGGGAATTGTATAGAGAAGGGTATAGAGAATATGGATACTTATGTTGGGGTGTAAACGGTTAATGTACAAATCCCATGCGAGTTGCGCGGAGGTGAATAGCAAAGGATATTCGGAGTTTGAGTAGCCAATGAGAGCACGCCTTTAACGTTTTCCACTGTTTTAGTATATACTAACAGATGCTAGTCTATAGCACTGGCGAGGAGAATTTAGATCAAAATCAAGAGCTTTTCAAATTTACGATCATTTCCTTAATGCGCAATTCCCGCGTGAGTCGGTGGGAGGTGAATAGTTAAGGATGTTCGGAGTTCGAGTAGCCAATGAGAGCGTACCTTCAACGTTATCCAGTCAGGGGTTAAATGGTTAATTTTAACTCTTTTATTGCAGGACGGGCATCAGCTACTCCATCTATAGATCTCTTTATTACTCTCCTGTCTCTTGGGTCTGTTGGATATCAGCAGTTACTTCGACAAAGAAAGGTGTGTATGCTTTTGTCTCTTATGACTGCAAATCAGACAAGTGATTTGATAGCTTAACACTTTTACTCCCAAGAGCTACAGTTCAAGTAGTCATTCTCAAAAGAAACTTTTCGATCAACGTCAGTATCTTAACAACTACGCGCCTACCCCTCCCCTAACCCAACAACAATCAATTGACAACAAGTCAGGGTTAATGTTCGGTTAGGGGAGGGGTAGGTGCGCAGTTGCTCAGATACTGACATTGATGCCAAATTTTCATATACTTCGTGGTATTTTGGCCGAGTGATTCTGGCTAAGATCTAGTCAACATCATTCAGTGAGCAATTTTCATAATCTCGTCATCTATCAACTCGACACTTTGATGAAACTGTACGGAAAAAGTGAACATAGCGCACCTTGTCACAAATTAAAATCAAGCAAGCTGCCTGAAGCACGGTCAAACGTGGACAACCAATTTAAGACCTGTTTTCAGATGTGCATTGTTTAAAAATTGGTTGAGGGTGTGGAAAGAGTTTTTTGGTCAATAACAGAGCGAAGACTAGTGTAAACTCTGCAGTCTAGGGCCAAGTTGTTCAAAGAGCCAATAACGCTGTCCAACGGATAAGTGTTAAAAAAGCATACTTCGCAATCCATCGGATAGAGATTTGTCCAGTGGCTAGCGCTATCCACCCTTCAAACTACTGTGACCTGGTTTACTTAATTTGTAACTCAATGTCGAATTCGTTATGATTTTTCAGGAAGTGTACAATTACTTATCTGAAGGCTTATCAAAGGTAGCGGAATCACATGGAGAACGACTTCTTGTCACCAAAGGCAACCCCATATCTCTTGGTAAGGATAAATGTTAAACTCCTTTTAACACTCGCTCACCCTGTCCCCCACGCCATAGATGTCGAAACAAAACTTAACTTCCGCTTTTTCTTTCGTGAACGCAATTACTTACTGCTATTCTCTTTCCGCTATTCAAGCCATTTCCCTGGAAAGAGTTACGAAGGCTCTGGAATTGAACGCAGCCGGAGTTACTCAACTTGGCTCCATGCTTTTTACAAGATGCGTATCTGGAGCAAGGTAGGATATTCATTTTGTTCTTATCAAGATGTGCTAACGCTTAAAACGCCAGCTTTAGAATCTCTTTGCGGTGGCCAATTATCATCATCAACTCAATTGATAAAGCCAAGTGATCTTGTAATACTCCGCACCGACGCATCACCACAGTTTTTTTAGAAATGTAACCCCTTTATACATGGTAGAAGTGCCCATCCTAAGGATGTCTTGCTAACCACACTTGCAAGCCCTTCTCCAAAATGCAGACGGGAAATAAGTCCTCATTGAGAGAAAATATATTACACCGAAACTTTTGAATGCACTCAATGAAATTTTTATTTATTTATTTATTTTCATGTTTTTTTTGGTTGTTTTTTCACCCTCCAGGGTGGTTCCTCCCGGAAGCACTAAAGAGATCAACGGGTACGTTTTCACTGGCTGGGGTGCGCATGCCAAAAACTACCGCTGTGCATATCTTACTGCAGCCGCGGCGATTGGGATGACAAAAGCGGAAGTAGACACGTTTTTAAAGCGACTTGACAAGTGCCTGTCTAGATTTACCTCAAAAAGCACTTCGATTGATGAATTGTCGAGCCACTGTGAAAATTGCGAGGAAAAGGAAGCCGAAGTTGAAAATAAGGACAATTTAACGGTGAACAGATAGTTATGAATTTGGTTTTAGATTTAGGTTTGTGAACTATGAACTATTTCAGTTAGAAGAATTTTGTATGAAATATTTTCAATTCGTGTTACACCACTGTAACTTTTCTGGATGTTTTGTAACACTGTTCGATGCAGCGTCGTGAAATAAAACTGAACTGATCGCATCGGTCAATCAAAATCAAGGAAACTATCGCAAAAAAGTAACAAGAACTTGAAATGATTACACGACATCGCCACAAAAACGGAAAACCCTGAGCCACTGAGTCGTAACTAGGTTTGGTTTCGCATCTGATTGGTTTACAGAATGACACGAGTATTCTAGACCAATCGAAGAGAAGCATTACTAAAGAAATGCAATCTTGGCGAATCACTTTCAGCACTCGATTTAGATGTGAAATTGCTTCATAATCAGGGTTTTCATTAAAAGCCGCTTTCCGTCAGTCTACCGCCACCTGTAAGACTTCCTACCGCTGACTGATAAGCTTACGCGTTGGCCCTCGTGTTTCGGTTTCGCCTTTCACCATCGGAAGCCGCTTCTGGAAAAGGTTTTTGAAACCCCTAATTCATGTTTTCCTGCTCAATAGTTAGAGATTGAGTGGGCAAAACTTGACTCAAACTTTGCTACTCTCTACTTTGAATGTTAAATAAAGAAAAGTGAGGCTACGATACTTCCTCTTTACAGAGAGGTTTATTTATTTATATTCTTGCTTCAAAAGGTTAGCACCACTCTATCTCACGAATTTCGAAGTTCTCGTTGAATTTTTTGTCAATTTACTCTCTCGGTACGACTCTCGCTACTCAAGTGTATTTTGTTTCTCTAACCAATCTGAAAAGGAAAGTTAGTGCCTTAAATTTTGCATCAGAGGTTTTACCATACCCATGCAAAAAAATGCCGCGAATTTACTCTCCTCATCAACCAATCATAATCTGACTAACCTCAGCAACGTGTGTGTTTTTTTCCCGCGCAGCTTTCCGATTCTAATTAGTTGGAATATCCGCGCTGTCACGCGCTCTTCCTCATTTGCATTTTGTCAGTGTAAACCAAAGTCAAAGAGACTTGTAAAACAACTGACAAGGGTTGATTTAAAAAAACTCAGCGTATCTACGCATCCTTCGCTTTTCTTTTTGGGAATGACCTAATATAGCTGAGCTCTATCTTAAATAATAAGGAAAACACGAGACATTTTAAGTTTTAGATTAATAACTCAATCCTTTCAACCCATTTTTGATTTGTTCAAACAAATTGCGAACACATCCTCAACAATCTACGTACATTAGTTGGTTAAGCCAAACTGTAAAACGGCTGAAGAATAAATTTATCGAACTTTCTCAGTTGATGTGGGATATTGATCAAATGAAGCCTTTAAGTGCAACTGTGGTTCTTTCTTTATTCACTCCGAGCTTTCGCCGTTCTACGGCATCATCACCTCCCTGATGATGCCGTAGAACGGCGAAAGCTCGGAGTGAATAAAGAAAGAACCACAGTAGCACTTAAAGGCTTCATTTGATCAATATCCCACATCATTACGACATGCTACTAAAGGACACGTTCAAACGTTTCTCAGTTGAAACACTTCCAAATACTAAATCGGCGTGTGCTTTTATGGTACATCCTGAAAACATGTCTTTGTCTTTGATACAAAGATTTATACTAATTCGTTTTCCTCTGGCGACTGAAAAGCTAAAAAGGGCGTTAATATCGAATTAAAAGCAACTGTATTAACGCTAGTGTGTTAAAATCTCATTTAAAGCGGCCCTTTTTTTTAATCATGAAAACAAAATTTAAGCTACGTATGGTACTCGGGAAGCAGAACTCACTTTGAATTAAATATTCTGTCAATTTGTTGTCAAGCAATGGTAAACTCAATAGACGTTAATAGGAAACCAGTCTGAACATTGAATACAATCTTCTGCTAATAAGAGTGTCGCTTAAGTAGGTCCCTTACAAAGGATTTCGCCGGCTGTAATATGTAAACATATATTTTCGACTTGATAAAAAAAAAAGACATGCAAAAGAGCTTTGCGGGGAAAACCATAGGAAAGGTGCTGAAAATTTCATTAGCACTGAAACGGTGCAAGAAATTATAAGTGATTTCTCTCCAGTGTTAGCAAGTTGAAGATATCGTTGGTGTTAATGGTGAATTTAAAATTAATTTCACTGCTGGCTGAGGTGGTGTATGTAGATCCCACACATAATATTTACTTTTATGACAAAAACTGATACAAACTTGGTCGACAAAACACGAATTTTTTTCTTAGGAGGATAAACACTGGAGTACAAAAACTAAACGAAGAAAACGCTGGACGAATTTACGACAGACATTTCTTCTGGAGAATGTCCGAAGACGCAGAAAAACAGGTGGATTCAAGCAAATACTGCCTTGAAAGCGACTGTCAGAGATTTCGCTCTCCGTGTCTGGATGCACATCATGAAGCCTTCATTCTTCGATCGACATGGACCATCGGGAACTTATACGCCTCGAATTTAAATTTAGGGCAAAGTTATATTAAACAAGTCAAAGATCTTGAGCGGCAAAGAAAAGTATGGTTGTCAAGGAAAGAAAAAGAACAGGACACGGTGCTAAGGAGATGGGAAGCCCTTAAAAAGCAAACAAAACATAGTTACCACTCGAACAGTTTGTCTGAAGTAAAAGACAGCAATTTAGAGCACAAATGGCAAAGTCAGAGTGCTCGAAAGTTTCGACAGAGAGCTACAACAGTGGCAACAAGCTCCGAAGTCAGAAGTTTAGAGAGCATTGACGTATTCGCTGAAAATTGTAGGTCAACATCACAACCGGAAGGTTCTGCGTTTGTAGTTACTCGCGCAGTAAAGGGAAATTCAGACCAGTTTGGATTTCAAAGCAATGAAGAACTCCCTCGTATTCGGAGCAAGTCATTGAACGCTCGTTTTGTAGAATGCGCTTTTGCTTCAAATTCTCATTCAGACCGCCCGTTGCTGAGAAGAAGTATGACTAGTTTTCATCAATCTGGTGTAAAATCTCTGCGACATTTCACCACAGAGTCCGACAGAGATCTAGCAGCGAACAACAGTCTTCTACCAAAATGGTTACCGTCGAATTTACGCTCAAAAAATATTCGCGGAAAGAGTTTTATTTTGTAAGGCGAGTGTCTTAAAATAGAACTGCCATTTTGGAACTAAAATAAACAAGTTTATGTTTTGTTTTTCAAATATCAAAAACCTGTTAAATAATAACACATTTCACGAGCACACCAGGTTTTATTGAATTTGTACAAACATTGTATCATTTACCAGACTCTTGGCAGAGTAAATAATAGAAGAGAGTAACGTGAATTAATTTTAACTGAAATTCAAATTTGCCTCAATCTCTTATTTTAAACTAGCTGCTCAGTCTTTTAAGGACCCAATGTATTGTTACCTGTTTCAATAGGAAATTAATCGAGACAAAAACTTAATCTTTTTCGGCTGGCACACTTTCTTTTTGACCCATTCCGGTGTAGGTGATGGGCGGACGGTAAGGCCGAGGTATAGTTATTTAAAAGTGTCGAAGGTTACGAGATACTTAAGGCCGGTGAATCGACATATCCAACTTCTTTTTTCCGACATTTTGAATGCAGATACTTTATTTTAGATTTTATAAAAAATATCAAGAGAAAATAAGGGCTTCTTATTTAGCTCTTAGGATGTCAATTTCACCCAATTTATTTATAGACACGTCCAGTCTCTCAAGGAACTGAAGTATGTTTGTTTCCGCGAAGTCCGCAACAGGAGGGTAACCTCGATATGATGTTCGCACAGTGTATATTACTAAACATGGTGAAATGGCGGCGAGAGTAGAACAGCCCCATTATTTTCTATTGACAATATACAGCAGTTCTATCCTCTTACCTGTTTAGTAATACGAGCGAGATGTTGGAAGAATTTGAGAAAAGTTTGTAAATCATGGGCCCATGTAAAGGCCCTGGATCCTGGATAGAACACTACCCCGGTGAGGAAGTGAGATACAACGCTTTTTTGCCCACAGATAAATCAATCTTATATTATACTAAATTGAAGCAGCTGTAGATTCATCGTTTCAACACGATCTTGACCAATCAGAGCGCGCGTTGTACCTCCCCATCTGAAAACGCTAGCACCTATCCCACCCCCCATTTGCTAACGCCGTCCTTCTCTCTGTACTCAGTCTATAGTTTGATTTTGCACCAATGCATACTGATAATACTACCAAAAATGTTAGATCTTTCTACTGCAGGTGTTAGCGATGTTAAAGTAAACAAAATATGTACAGGAATGAAATCTTAAAAGGCAAGACTTTATAGTGGGCTTGTCATCCGGGATATCAGAATCATGAGTGTCTGAAAGAGTGCTGCGCTACGAAAATCTCTCGATCGCTGATACATGTATTTTGTCAAAACGCAATTTTATACCAGAGATGCATCCTCGATTCTTTCGTCTTCGAAAGAAAAAGGCTGTAAAAAGATTACACGGCATAAAAACCAAGTAAAATTTATGTACTATGCGGTAAAACTCAAGGATCATACGTGAGCGAGACAATTCATTAATGTTTACATGACCAATATAAAGTTTTGCCTTCCCGCTAATAATAGTACTCCTTTGTTCCTAACGCAACAATATGGCGCTGGGCAAGGTTTGTTGGTTCTTTTCCTTTTTTCGCTCTTTATTGTGGTAGTGATGCTGCTTCATTGACAATGAGGAGGGTTAAATCTAATGGAAAATAACAATGAATGTCCTTCAATGAAAGAATCAATGAACGGTGGTAAACGTAATATCCTTGGTTTGTGTGAGTAGAGCGATTCTGAAATCGCTTCCGTTTGGTAGTTGTTTGAAGTGATCAAATACACCGCTTAGTTCTTGAGCTGGGACGATTTTGCCCCATAAAACTCCAATTCCGAAGATTTTGTATTGTTTCGATCGCTATGTTGACATTTTTTGCATGTTATTGCCGACGTATTTACTGGTAACCTTTCAGTTCGCCTCGAGGTCTTGACTGGCTTATGCAATAGCTAGCATTTAAGGGAGTGTTGGAGGCGGGGAAGGGGAGTGGTGGCTGAGTGTTTTTCAAGAACGATGCCTTGGCAAGAAAGTGTATCATGATGGTCCCTCTGCTTTAAAATTAGTCAAAATAAGCTACTAGTCTTGCATTACGTGAAACCATAATCTTTGTAACAAAAGATAAAAATCAGAATGGACGATGGTTCACTTTCTGTTACTGTGAAGTAAATCGCAGCAGGAATTGAAGATTGTTTTCTTGTTTTCCACTAACACGACTAACAATGTGCCACAAAAAACTACTTAATAAAATACTACATTAATCACATTAAAATTTTTTCTCTGTAATTTGCATGTCTGTTTGTGTTAATGAGGAGAATTTTTATTATCTTGATGAATGCCTATTCAATTTTCGCTAACAATCACGTTGGCAAGAAAGGTAACTATTGCATACATATATGATGTGGAAACCATTAGAAATTTTATTTTATTAAATTGATCAATGATAGATGTTACCATCAGTTATGAAGCGGTTTCTACAGAGTGCTGTTAACAGAATGCACTTACCATCCACAAGTATGTTTGGCCGATGTTCAAGCACAGCAGCATCACATTTGGAAGAAAATATCTCCAAGTCATTTGTAACTGGACCTTTGACAATGCTTTCTGAAGAGGAGGAAATGATGAAAGAAACAGGTACTATTTTTTATTCATCCTAAGCTAAAACTCCTGTTGATTATAAGTTTGAAAAAAAAAAAACCTGAGATAATTGCAACACCAGTCTGAACAAAATTCAGTGTCACATGGAACCAATCAGAACTCAAACTAAATGTATATGGCTGGTTTCAAGTGGCTTTAAAAAAACTTGAATGATTAAATTGTGATATGTTCTCATCTTACATTTTATTCATTGAAGAAGATGAACCATATTTCACTGATTGACTGGATATCTCAGAAAAACGGTACTAAACCACTTGTGGATGATTTTTTACACTCAAGAAAAAATTGCACTTGTAAATTAATTAGCAGTGATCAAATGTATACTCTTCAATAACAAGGCAATGTTTTAATGGATCTGAGAAACTGAAATTTCCCAATCTTTGAAGTTCACAAAAGTTATCTTTCTTGCATTTCTTTCTGTTGGTCAGTAAAACTATGCTTTTGGTTTTCCAGTTGCTAGGTTTGCTATGGAGAAGATACAGCCACTGGTATCAGAAATGGATCAGAATTCAGAAATGGATCCATCAG